ATTTGAGTAACTAATTTCTTAACAGGTTGTAGAAATATATATATATTTTTTTAAATATTTAGAGTAAGATTTTTTCGATTCCTTCCTGATTACAAAAATGGAGCTGAAGTAGATCTATCATTGGATATTTCATCCTCCTAGGCCCAGCCTTTTTTGAGAAACAGTGACCGCTCAGCGAATGAGTGAGTGGTGACTTTCTTTTATAAAATTGACATACGAATCAATCACATATTTACTTATAATATTTTACTAATGTGAAGTTATTTACATAATCATTGATATATTTGATCGTAGTTCGCCGTAGCAGAGATTCAATCCAATTCCAGATTTCCTCTATAAAAAGTATTCACACACTGATTGTTTACATAACTCTTCAAATGTTGATGTTTACCTGAAAACTTAAAGGATACCGTTTCCGATGGTATGAAAACACGATAGGTGTCCAGAACGATGATGAAGACATCTCGTAAAGTTCCGTAGAAAACTATTTCAGTATGCCTAGCCCGAGTGAGTGAATTAAAACCCGTGTCCGCGAATAGATTTTGTGGTTCCTTGTTGATAGAATAAATCAGTGGAAGAGTATAAATCCAAGATCGCGACTCTAGGCCCAGTTATAAATATATTTGCCGTGATATATCAGCGGGCAGTGCCCCTCGAGTTAGAGTTTGTGCACTCCTCAGTTCTCAACTGGTCTAAATATCCTCAGTTCTTAGTGACATCAGAAGGATTAGTATGACTGGATAGTATCGAGCCAGTTTCTAAAGTTATGCCCACTAAGTTGTCACCTAATTCAACTAACTCAGCTCCCGCTGTATCCCTTGAGAAATTAACTATTGCTGGAATAGTCCCTTGAACGCAATATAACTACCATTATTATCATAATAATTATAGAACTGTATAACATCAACTATATTTATTATTTTTTTTAAATTATGAAAAGAGCGTAAAACTTAATAATCATTAAAATATTTTAGTGCATTCTGATAAAAAGTTAAGGTTTATTGAAAATTAATCCACGTAATTTTGTAATACTTATATAAAAGGACTTTAAGATTAATTAATGAATTGAAGTTATCATTCTAAAAAATAGTTAAGCAGCACTAAACACAAAAAAAAAAAATCCGAAACGAAAATTTTGCAGGAATTATGACTGTTTAAAATTGTTGTTTTTGGACGATTATTTTCTCAATAAAAACAGAATAAATATTTTTAAACTAAACCTCCTTAAAAGAGCTCCAATTGAATAAATTATACAAATATTTTATATTTATAATTGAATAAAAATTGTACATCAATCCCAATTATACAACGAATAATCATTCTTTATTAACCATATATAGAATACTATTTATTTTTTAAAATTGATGATTTAAAATTTATTGAGAGACGAGCTATTGAGTGTCCATAATATACTTAACCTAAACTCTTGTATAGAGGGTGCAATATTTTCTTCAAATACATTCTAACATTTTACTTTTTATTTTTATTATTTATTATAACTAATTTTGTGATTTTTTTTTTCAGGTACGTACTATTTATTTGTATTTGATGGGATTCCGGAGGTGTGGTAAATTTAACAACGCATGTTAATCGTAAGTATACAATTTTATATTATACTAATGCATAAAAAAAAGTCCTTTCGTCTACGACTGAACACTTTTTCATGTTGAAAAATCGGAGACTTTTTTTTCAATATTAGAAATGGGTTTGACAAAATCATCCTATTCAGATCCTGTTCGGAAAACACGTTTAATCACACTGCATACCAACGTTACTTTATGAAACTAAGGATGTAAATAATGTAAGTAGATTGACTAAAATTTAACAATCAACGTCCCTATGAATTTAACGACGATATATATTATTTATATTTGTGTGATTAAGAATTAGGCACATTAATAGTTAATAAGATCACACTTTTTTTTTTTAAATTGTTAAAATAAGCTAAAACTTCGAAAAAATACATTTTTAGTGGAACAATCCAAACTACAATGCCACGATTCTCCAATATACAGGTAAACAGTTAACTTGCCAACGTTTTTTTAAAAATTTAAATATTTAATGAAAACATTGTTGTCATTAATTTAAATTATTGTTAAAAACTTCTCTACTTTTTTACAATCTCTGTTGAGCTGGGTCTCCCTTCAATCTTTTTATAACTTGTACCATAACCAAATGACAGTATCCCTTCTCCCTTATATCCTGTCACCGTCATAATAATTATTTAATAATTATTTGTATCATAAGCGTTGATTAAAAAAAAAAAAACTTTTTCTCTTTTGTTAATTTTGGGTTTATAACAAAAAAAAAAAAAAAAACAGAAATTTCTAACTATTATTTATGCAACATAATGTATGTCCTTGGATAATTTTTAGTATTTTATTTTCTTTAACGTGTCTCTAATACTCCCATCCCAGAGGGAGGTAAATTTATTTTTAAATTACGAAATCAAGAATAAAAGATATAAAATCCTAAGAACCAGTTGCGATCCCTTTCGAACCACATAGGTAGCTGTATAGAGTTCTCGTGCTGTAAAGTATCGTCCAAAAGAGCGAGACAAGTTTCGTGGAATCTAAAAATAGTTATGTACGACAGACAGACGGACAATTGTATTCACTCAGTGTCCCTTCCTCTGTGTGGAGTCGCATGCTGCATCCATGAGTTGTAACCCCACGTGTTCTGTCAGCTGCTTTTTTACTATCTTCTGATAAGTTCTATTCACGGTGAATATCCCGCTATATCCTTTAATCAATCATTCATAGGTAATATTTTACTGGAGTTTTTTTTTTTCTCGTAGTTGATTTAATACAAAAGAAATTGTCTTATTTTGTAGGAATCTGATCTTCTTTTATGATCATTTGACTAAAACTGAAATTCATATAATTATATTTATGAAGAAAATATCATTTTATATATACATTTACTAGTTATTTAAAAATGCGTATTTCAATTCCACAATATTGTTTAATTCTTTTCATTAACTACCTATCCACAAGAAATGTATTTGTGATAGATAAAGTATTCTATGCAACGTAGAGCGAAAACATTGGAATATTGATTTTTTTTTTAATTTACTTGTTTTTTTTTAGCCCATATTTAATTTATGTAATATTATCATATTCACACTTTATTAAAAATCACTAACAATTTTTATCCAATTTAGGGCAATTAATGAATTTTAAAAGGAAACATTTTATATTTTATTTTTATTTTTTAATTTGAATATCCCACATAACATTTTTTATTTCACCATAAAAACTTTTAAATTATAATGACAAAATATAGTTTTATATGTCAATGAGAATAATTTAGAACCAATTTTAGCTGCAAAAGAGTGATTTTACATATAATGCTAAAGTTGGGGTGACACTCCTTAACGTTTGGGAAATATTGTAATGTCCTTTACATTAGAAACATTTTGTACGTTATGTATGATTCATGTCATATTATTATTTTTCTTTCATTCGTGGTAACTATTCATTGAATTATAGAGGGAAATTTTACTCTTTTTTTTTTATTATGTATTTATTCTTAAAATTTCTTGGTAGGATGATCTAAATAAATAAATCATTTTATGTCGATTAGATTTTGAAAAGTAATCATAACATGAATTCTCCGAACCACCATACAAAAAAAAAATAAATAAAAAATAAATTAAAGAAACTATATATATAATTCATACCATTACAATATTATACCAACTGTGGTTATGTGTATATGTATTATATGTCACGTACTATATGTATCTTTTTGTGCTAAAATAGCCTTGATGTTTTTGTTGAGTTTTTATTTTTTTTTTGTTGTTAGTGCTAACTCATTAACCCTGCTAAGAATACATGAAAAATAAATACATGTCTTTTACCTAGCAAGAAAATCTTTCATGAAAGCATGAAATAGTCTTTTAGTGGCGACACCAGGATTTTTGCTGGAAAAGGCCATTTCAAATTCTTCATCTCCCATCTCCACCATAAGTATTTTAGGTAATATATTTTAAAATAAAATTTTATGAAGAAACGAATATTTTTATTTAGCCGAAAATAAATTCAACTTGAAATTTTTGGTCAGCTAATTTTTAGTCCCAGTAGTCTGTACAGAAGAGACCACCGTTTATTTTTACATCATCAAGGCATCTTGAATGGTTTCTTTTTCATAAGTCCTTCAAATAAAAAAAAATAGAAAAAGATATTTATAAGAGAAGGATGATATTCTAATTAGACTGAAATAATATACACCATCTGACTAGATATTATCAATGGATATTGGAGGCTCTAGCATAACGCTTGCCTCTGTCAGAGTACAGTTCATTAAACTCATATAGGCTCGGGTGAGGTCAGAAGGATGGGCAAGGCAACATAAAGAGTTTCTTGTTTATTTCTTTAATAAATGCAACATGTGCAGTTTAAATGTGACTCTCCCTTCCGAGATATAAATGGCAAAAAATAACTATATATGAACAAGCCATCGGAATCGATTTCTCAGAACTCTTCCATCCATGTTGACGGCATCAAGAAAAAAAAAAAAATTAAAACCGGAGTCGCACGCAGAATGTTCAAGCAAAAACTGATACGTCATACCCGGTTTTGGTTCTTCATCTGCTCTTAATTACTAATAATAAAATAATTTAATGACGTATGAAGTCAATGCAAGTTCTTTTGGAAGGAGCATGCAAATATTTAACCAATTTTTAGAGAACCACCTTACAAGAATTTTATACAAATATGTATCCAAGCACAATAAAAAGTCTTATGATTTTTTTATTGTCGCCATAAAAAAATAAATTAAACTAATTAATAAAGTATTTTAAATATATTAATAATTATTATTTCGTCCCTAATATGCAATAGGCCAACAAAAATCTTCTTATTAGCGGATCGCCTTTTGTAACAGTACAAAATTTGGTTTGTATTGATGTTGGAAAAATATTGAACCGTTTTCGGTAAAAAAAAAATTAAACATAATAAATTTAAAAAATATGCTAATTTTTTTATTTTGTTTATCCAATGCCTCAAGACGTCATAGTGCTATATAATTATTACAAGACATGTCATTATGAACGTTCTTGCACTTGCAACAATTTTTTTTGCACTGAACCCTGTCTTGTTTTAATTCAGTGATGTGATAACTGTAAGGTCTAAGGAACTGGAAAGTTTGCAACTTATTGGGTTTGGAGAATTTTCCATAACTCGATTGTTTCGACTGCATCGGATTGGAATACCACCTTCTTTCCTTCTTCACAGTAGTCAGAGGATTATACTTAAATTAATATAGACGTTGCATAAAAAAAATTCAAAATATAAAAGTGAAATGAAAATTATTTATTTAATTTTTTTTTTAATTCGTAGGAAATGTTAATGAATTCAATCTCTTGTGTAGTTTGTTATGTTTAACAATTTTTTTTTCTCTAAAAAAATATAATAAATTTATTGGAAAATTAAGATTACCTTAATTCTCTTTTTTAAATAATGTCGATTTTGTATGCGCTAAAAGTAATTTCAATAATTTCTGCCTACTGATTCCGTCAAGATTTATTCTCAGTTAGATCAGAACTAATTTATCTTCAGTATTGAACCAAACCTTGGACGAATACTTATTCGTTCAGCCCCGGTTACTTTTTCAATGATTCTCACTGTCTTGACCCCCAACAACATTATACCTCGATTTTAATTGTTGGAATTCAATGACTTTTATTATATTCAAATGTTAAGCATACCTCGCAATATGTCAAGAAAACTGTAATATTTGAATAAATAAGCCACTTTTTGCATTCGTACTGTTGTTTGTTCGGTACATCACTAGAAATGAGTTATTTAAAATAAACAGAAAATAATAGCTAATAGCTAGAAAATAAAAATAGTCTGTCCCCTTTTAATGACATTTTGCAGAGGGGAATTAATTCACAGAATTTTGCATTGGATAAGGTCTATATATGTTTAACAGAATAGAACCTTTATATGGTTTTGGTATATTAGTTGGTTATTGAGGAAATTGCTGATGTAACAACAAAAGCTTTCAGATTTTCTACGACCATTACTACTGACTCGACTGTACCCAAAACATGAGCAAAGTTGCTTCGTACTCTTCTGTTAAATGGCCTCGTTTGATAAATTCTGGTTTTGAATTACTTTATCATGGACAAATGAATTAGAACTTGGATGAATATTTCAAAGCGTATTTACATCTAGTAATTGCATCACTCTGGTTTAGGTGCGCGATGATTAAGTTAGTAGCTTCGTGTCGACCCCAGACACGGGTATAGTTAGACTCCCCTATAACTATTAGTTGGCAAAGCGAACTGCATCGATTATAGAGAGGTCCAGCGAACAGACAAGAGTTGGACATTTGACCCGCGGCAGCCCCGGGACTCTGAAATTCAGTTGACATGTATTAATTATGCCCTATCGAACATAGGAGTGGGGCTAAGCCCTGGCTAATGAGCCTGTTTGATCAGACAATGATGGGCGCTAAATAAGTGAAGAGGAGCTGGACGAGGCAGCTAAATGCCTAAGCACCAGCTGAGCTTTGCACAAAAGCCTTCCCCTCTCAGGTGTTATATATATTCCCGTGTGTGCGCTCCCATCAACGCTTCAAGTGATGAATAGAAATGTCTCTGAGTGCCCACATCATCTGAGTGGATCCCATCTTCATTTATGCCGGGGTTAATTATTTAAACTGATGTAATGGCGTCCTTTGGCGGATGCATGTGATGAAACTTTCAGGGATCACTCGTGAACATGGCCGGACCTTTCAATTATTGATAATGAACTATTGGCTTCAATATTATTAGGCATTATTCAGCTATTGTGAACATAGAGAATTTGGCAAGACCATACTTCATTGTTTAATGATGAAGAAGTTTAATTAACTCGCTCGCCAAACTTAGTCAAAAGCTTGACTTCCTGATTATATATAATACAATAATCTTAAGTTATAAACTTGCTTGAATTAAACTTATATAATTACTAATGATTGTCGAATCAGTATCTAAGTATTTTCGAATTTCGAAGAACATTTAATATTTTTGTCGGTTTGTTTTTAGTAGATTTTACAGTTCCAGGTGTCGTTCACATTATTTGCTTACATATCGTTTTTTTCACTTGTCCCTTTATATACTTCATTACCTGTATCTGATTGAGGAGCAATTTTTTTTGTTTTCAATTTTCGGCTTACAATGCCTGATCGATTATCTTGTGAAAAAACTGAATTTGTGGAAAACATTGCGTTGCCAATACTTTGTAATAATAAAAATTTATGTACAAAGATATGATATTGGTAGATGTGCTTGATATTCGATCTTGTGGTATTTTCGGGAAAAAATTACAACTTAAATTTGGATTTCCATGAATGTTTATAGTGATAAATTATTTTAATATATTATTTTTCCACAGATTCAGTTCAAATATATGTTTGGTACGATATAAACAACATACATATTATAATTATATTTTTGTTAAGTTAATTATTAAGCCACAACAAAAACGTTTGATGCTACTCATAAAAAGTAGTCCAACTTAACAAATTGAAAAAAAAGATATCTTGTCTAAAGAAAAATTTACATGTTTTTAAGTTCAGTATCAATTTCTTGATGAGTATAAGTATATTGAGATGGAAACAGAGGATTTGTCATCAGATGAGATAAAGATCCGTCAATTACACAAAGTATTTAGCAAGATTGTCCTGTTAAGATTCGATTAATTCCTTTCCAGACCAGTCGATTGCTCAAGTCGAAGGGTGAAGAACCTCCGCCAAAAACAGATTACAGAATCTCAAGACAGTTGAGCTGACTAATATTCGCCTAATCTAAGAGGTCCTATGAGCTTTTAGCAGCCGCCATCTGTGATTGGCTTAATGAATAACGGGACCTACAGATAAAGTTAAACCCAAATAAACTTCGGGGGGAGGGCGTTAATTTAATTCCAGGGGCGCCCAAGTCGATGCCAACGACAACATAATAGAATCCCAAAACACAACTTCAAACTCAGCGCGCGCAACGCCCTCTACCCCAGCCAAGTTAAATTGTTTAATTCATTCCCGCTAGCTCCCTCTGCCGGCGAGAATTGGGTTGCGGAGGAAGAGCACTTTGGTTTAACCCCCTCCCCAACCCCCTTCCCCCCCAACCCTTACACGATAGTGACGGAGTCCACTAATCAAATCTACTTCATCCCGCAGTAGCGCCTCTTCGTTCCTCTTTCGATTATTCATATCGGTAGGTTTGTCAGCCACCTTCAGGGTTAACTGCTTGGTTAGTGAGGAGTAATTTAAATTAGAGTAAATCTCTACCCGAACTCGTAAGTCTGGACTTAAGGGTAATCGTGTTAATTAATATTACTTAATCATGATGGAGATATTATTGACCACAGATGAAATCAAGATGGTTGACTGTATAGATCACAGTATAGATCACTATACCGCTTTAGTGTATGCCGTCATTTCGGCCTAGGTCATCAGGGCTAAGTAAAACAATAGGGCCATGGTGGATAAGTGTTAAGGCGTCTTCACCTGGTTCGAATTCAGCCTGGGTAGGTTGAACTTTATTCCGTAGCTGACCCACCAAAGGAATATTCACCTTCACACTCTTGTTGGGGTATGGTAACACTCCCATATGCAAATAATGACCAAGTTGAAGTTAATAAAAAATAATAAATTAAAAGACTCAGCAAAACAAGATACATAATCATTGAATGATGCTACAAGATTAAATAGCATTAATAAAGATTCCAAATTACAGGATAGAAAATTGGAATTCATCATTATGTTTTCATTTCCTAGATGAAGACATTCCGAAAAAAAATTCAGAAAAAGCATTATAGTTTTTATAAATAACGTTACTAAATAAAAAAAATTCCTCTACACGTATAATTATGTTAAATCCTATATAAAATATTATCTTTCCTTTAAACAGTAATTCTGTAACTCAACCCGTGTATTTTTTAACTTTGACATGCTCCATATTATACGCGTATCAATTAATTTATATATTACAGTTCTTATAAAATTTAAAAATTACATTATTATAGTTATAATATATAGTTTGTTTTTTCCTAATTATTCTTATAAATCAAACAATAACAACATAAGATAATTATAAAGAAACCAAAACAGAGAAAAAATAATTTTAAAAACAAAATAAGTACATTAAATTGTTGGTTACTACAGTTTTCTTGGAGGAATTGAAAATCAACTTCAAAAATAAATTTCTTTATCTCCTTGTTATATTTATTGAAAATGTCTTTTTCTTTTACTTATCTCACTTGAGATCTATGCTTCTTATTAAAATGGAACTATTTGTTTAAAAAATATATATAAAACAAATAAATACCTCTTCTTTTCGATTAAAATGTGCGGATTAAATTTAAGAATTTTTATTTTATTTATTTTTTTGACTGAACGGAAACGAATTCCTTATTATCCAAGAGATTTTTATTTAAAAAACTAAATCGTTGAAGTTCTCATTCGGTAATGAAGTGTTCAATATTTTTTTATGGATGCACATTAGAATAAAATATCTTACATAATAAAAGTTGTTTGTCTTACAATAATAAAAAAGCACTTCTTTTTTTTTTCATCTGAATGATGTAATATTTTCTATATTTTCTAAAGGAATAATTCCGACTAGAGTTTTGTATAAAAGGGATGAAGTTTTCTATAACTTTTATATTTGAGCAGATGATAAAGTTCCTCTATTGTATACTTATAAATCTAAATAACTTTAATACTTCATCCAACAAAATAGTAATAATACTCATGGAATAAAGTTATATTACTCTGTTTTTATATTTCTATTACTGATTGACACCGCCTTTATTTACTTACTTACTAAAAGATTATAAAGTTTTAATGAGGAAAGAAAATTCTTTGGGTTGTTAAATAATATCATTTCAAAGTATAATAAACAGGTCGTAATAAAATTGTGAATATATCACAATTTTTTTTATCAAGCAATCATTCCCATGATTTCCCATCTATTATGTAGTTTTTTTTTTCAAATTACATTACTGTATTAACTGTTATAAATAATCTTAATATAACCTTTTTTTTTTCCTATTCTATTTATACTCGGTTGGAAAAAGAAAATAACTAAAACAAAGTTCATAAAACATTAATTATCTGTTACTATGTTTCTTGTATTCCTCCACATTATTAGGGAAAACCACGTTTTTAAAATTTTATATGCTTAAATTTTTTATTCGTTCTTAGATGATTTAACGCCCAATTAAGTAAAGGAATAATTTAGACACCCACATCCAACTAATAGTTTTTGCTCTGCATAA